GGGATAGAGAATAAAATAGGAGGGAATTAAAACATACTATTGCATCAGCCATAAAAGGGTTCTGATACACGCTATGGATGAATTTTGAAAACGTTATTCTAAGTGAAATAAGCCAGACATGAAAGGACTAATATTACACGATTCTACTTATATGAAATAAGGAGGTAAGTTTATATACAGAAAGTAGATGAGAGGTTACTAAGCGTGGAGGCAAGGGAGAAATCGTTCTTGTTTAATGGTTGTAGAATTTTTGTTTGGGGTGATGAAATATTTGGGTGGTAGACAGTGGTGTGGCATAAATTTGTGAAAGTAATTCATGCTACTTAATTGTATCCTTAAAAACAGTTAAAGTGGCAAATTTTATGTCATATGTATTTTACAATAATTTTACTATAATTTAAAAACATGAATAATGTAATATACCAGAAACAACTGAATTGTCCCCTTTCAATTAAAAAAAATATTTTTAACATTTATTTGTTTTGAGCGAGACAGAGCACAAGTGGGGGCGGGGGCAGAGAGAGGGAGGGACACAGAATCCAAAGCAGGCTCCAGGCTCTGAGCTGTCAGCACACAGCCTGATGTGGGGCTTGAACCCACAAACTGCGAGATCATGACCTGAGCCTAAGTCAGACGCTTAACTGACTGAGCCACCTGGGCACCCCTGAATCGTACCCTTTATAAAATTTTTTTTTCAACATTTATTTATTTTTGGGACAGAGAGAGACAGAGCATGAACGGGGGAGGGGCAGAGAGAGAGGGAGACACAGAATCAGAAACAGGCTCCAGGCTCTGAGCCATCAGCCCAGAGCCTGACGCGGGGCTCGAGCTCACGCACCGCGAGATCGTGACCTGGCTGAAGTCGGACGCTTAACCGACTGCGCCACCCAGGCGCCCCTTGAATCGTACCCTTTAAATGAGTGAATTGTACGGCATGTAGATTATATCTCAAGAAACCTGTAAAAAAACCCCACCGTCCCTCACAGGTTGCATATGACTGTCATCTTGTAAAGCTCTGATTATTGTTAAATAAACTTACCAGGAGCAGAAACAGCTGATCAATGTTTGCAATACTATGACTCACACTTCTTACTACATAGCTAGGTTTCACAAAAGATCACTAATCCTACTGGAAGTTTAGAACACAGAGGAGCCTTCTATCTTTTGCAGGCCTGATAAAATAACTAATTTACTATCTTGCAATGGATACTTATCAGACTGTTTTCAAAACCACCTCTTGGCTTGATTCTTGAGCGCGATCAGCCTGAAAAGTCCAGCTGGAAACCACCGTCAGAACAAAACAAACGACAGCATTTAGTTTTTGTACCTCTCAGTCGTAGGTCAGCTACAGATCAGAGCATGCCAGTTATCTAGAGAAGCGCCCGGCACATATTGACTTTTGACACGTATTCGTTGAAACGAAAGAACAGTTGCATCGACTGCTTAGAAAGCTCCCAGGGCTGTGGGTCAGATAAAAGCATCTTGAGGGGCTGCAGGCCAGCTCAGAGAGCCCCTGGGAGTTTATTACCGCTGGGCTCATAACTTGCTTTGTGTGTTGGCTCTGTGCTCTCACAGGTCAATCATCAGCAAGGCCCAAGAGGTCCTTTCTCAATAAGTTTCACTAAGAAGTTCAAGGTCCAGACAGAACCGAATGAGGTCAGGTATTTCAGGAGTATTGCGTTCTAATGAAAATTTGTTTCAGAAAAGGCCACAATAACCCTTTGAACTCAGTGAACAGGAGAGCTACGTTTCGGTCACTAGTCCCATCGTGGCCTCCAAACAAGAGTAACAGAAAACAAACACAGTTAATAAAGAAACCCAGAAGCTAACCATGTTTTACCGTTTCCCACAGCAGAGGCAACACAGTGGCATGATTTAGACTAGAATTTGCCAAGAGCCCGTACACATCTTGTCTTACGGGTCAAATACAAATATCACAGAACACGGATTATATCTCAACATGAAAGCTTTGGCAGGAGAGTACGGTAGAAATAATGCCCTTTCCCTGGGTGCCTACTGAAGGCACCTGCGTCTTTGATAGGAAAAGAGAAAAACAAAACTTCCACAGGTGAGCTGCCCATAATTTACAATAACCGGAGAAGAAAAACAGACGTTAGGTTTGTCAGTGCTATTTGGAGGTGGGGGAAGCTCGTAAGACCCTCATCACCTTCCCGAACCCTTAAAAAAAAAAAAAAAAAA